TACTCTATCAGGTATACCAAACCTTGCGGCTGCCGTAGCCCCTCCAGCTCTCAAACTATGAGTACCAAACTTTTCCGAGTCAAAACCTATGTTTTTGATGGCATTAATTACCATAGCCCTGCAAGCCGAATAGCTCAGTTTTGAGTTTGTGTTTCTAAGAACATAACCATTTGACTTGCATGTCAATGCTCTAAATATATATTCTTCTGAATCTTGTTTGATTTTTGCCATTTCAAAATACCTTTGTAACCATGTATATGGACAGAGCTTGTTACCAGTTTTGGCAATAATAACACTGTTACCGTTTCTATATACATCTGTCTTAGATTTTGCTACAAATATGTCTATATGTGTTTGTTTGAATTGAATGTCTTTTGATCTTAGCTTAGAAATGTCATCATATCTGAAGAAACCTGCATACGCTAATATCATGAACGTAATTGTTCTTAATGATTTAAGGTTAATGTATGAATTGTCCGAATTGTCTACAATTTTTTCCAACATTTCTGGAGTAATTGGTTGTTTTTTGACTGTCTCTTTACCAAGTGATCTTTTAGCTGACTCTATTAGTTTATTTATCATTATGTTATCGCATGGATTTGGTAAACATGCCGTTTCATGTGCCCATGCTATAGCGTATTTTGCATTGTTCACTATACTAACTGTCACTGCATTTTGAATCAAACTGAGTAAATACAATGCTACGTGAATAGTTTTAGCCGGTAAATATTTTACATTTTCAAAAGTGTTGCACCATTTTTTAAAATTACTGAAATTAGCTGTATAAGATCTGACCGTAGAATCATCCTTGGACTTTAATAGTTGGTGTGGCAGTTCATCGAAGAGGATTTGAAGCTTTGGTTCTGTAATGTCCTTTTGTAATTCTGACCAGTGCTCTGTCTTCGTTATTTCGTCTAATACAACTGAAAAATATTACATTACAAGGCAAATATATGCATTCTATACCAGAACTTTGTTGGCTGACGAACCCTTTGATTCATTTACATTATTTTTGCATCAAAATAACTTCAATGCTAAAGTTATATCGTGGAATTTGCTACCTAGAACAGAATCTTCCTGTGAACCTTCTATATATACATTTGTCCCCATGGGAATCTTTGTGATAAATTCTCGGTACCTGATACCGTTATGCAACAATGGCCAATATGCCGCGCTGTTCCACTTCGGAACAATTAATGTGCTTTTTGCTCTCTGAAAACATGCATATTTTACTGCTTTGCAAACCAGTTTTATTGGTGGTACTAGCCAGTTATTTTCGTCTTTCCAACTCACAGAAAATGCATCTACTGCCTCTGTACCTGGGCACCAATATTCTGAGTTGAATTGGGTTACCTGATTGTTTTTGCTAGAAGCAAACCTGTCTACTGTATGATTACCCCATAGCTGGTCCAGCCATGTAAATACCCATTTGGCAATTTTCCAATCATCCGTCTCTACTATGCGACTTATTTCGTCGGCTATGACATTTTTCTCTCTCGGAATCCACTGAACTGACAACCTGACGTTGAACTGCTTACATAGCATAAAGATATCTAATGCTAAATACTGTAAATCTAGTTTCATGCTACCTTTTCTGATAATATTTACAATGTTCTGATTATCTGTCGACCACATGACTCTTTGATTTTGGATTCTATGTTTCAAAGATTGCATTACTACCTGTACTCCTTTGAGTTCTCTCCAGGTTGAGCTGTTTGTTTTCTCAGATTCGGAAAATGTATAATGAGCTTTTTCTGTCTCATATTCTACTACGTAGCCCCCACAGGCGTTTGCAGATGCGTCTGAATAAACTAATGTGGTACATACTTGTGATTGTTCTATTTTCTCACCTTTCATGTGCGACAAATTGTCTCTCCAGAACAGTATTTCTTGCCTGGCACCTACAGATAAGTCTATTCTTACATCCCAGCCTGACCTACTGGCCACGACAATTTGTAAATGTTTTGTCATAAGATAACAAATATTACCTATTGCAGGTTGCAAAGAAACAATCTTACCTACAACCCTTGCTACCTCTCTTGCTGTAGTGTTCTCTCTATTGCTACACAGCGCATGTACATCCTGCATTATTTTGAGACATTTGGTTTCAGGAACAGATATAATGAACTGTTTCAAATCAATCTGAAAACCTAACCATTTGATATTTTGAGTTGGTTCCCTTATAGACTTTTCGTCATTTGGTATAAAACCACTTGATATCAAATCTGACCTTACTTGATGCGACTGATCCACCGCTTCTTCAAGTGTTTCACACACACAAAGGGCGTCATCGAGGAATGCTACTATACTCATACCTTTGCTCCTAAATCTTGTGACAAGAGGCTTCACGATCTTTGTAAATACAAGACCTCCTGTTGATATACCAAACGGTAACACTGTAAACATATAATATTTCGTATTCTCACCTACATGCCACTTGAACCCTAGATATTTCTGATGTACTTCTGCAATAGATATATGATGGTACCCACTTTTAATATCAAATGAAAACATATAAGCATCTTTCTTGAAATACTCTCTAGCTACCTTAAGGTCTTCGAACTTAACCTTGTCTCTTATAATATAGGGATTGACGTGTCTGAGGTCTAGTACTAACCTTCGCTTACCTGCTGAACTCTCTGCAACCGTCAGCGGATTAACAACATGAGGTGGAAATTCTGTTTCTACAATTTTTCCATCACATAGCAATTCTTCAATAGCATCAGTTACAAAATCTGAATTTCTGATAGCAGAAGCATTATTTTTAAGTTCTGCTTTGTCTGGTTCTGATAAAAAGGGAATAACATAACCTTTTGATATAATGCTTTTTATATAACTATGCGCATTGATTTCTTGTGACCAAAATTCAATATGTCTTTTCAAACTATCTTTAACATGTTTTGACTCTGGAGCAATAACACAATCTGACAACGTACCCTTCTTACTGCTTTCCTTGGCTAGTGTTCTGCTGCTTTTCCATGTATGTGGAATAACACTCGTAGGCCCAGTGACCTTTGCCTCCGCAGGCCCGGCATATATCGTTCTCTCGGGAACGCCCACTTCTTTGGTTTTGCTGACCACTGCCACTGGTTTTGCTGTATTTGGCTTGCTGACTGCTGCTGGTGCCTTCTTCAGGTTGTCTTGAGTCGGCGCTGCCTCTGAAACTGATGTTAGTGTTGCCATTGCTTCTTCTGGCGAGTTGTTGCTAATCTGCTCCATGGCCGTTGATATAGAATCTTTCACGCCCATGTTGTGCTCATACTGTACACGATGCGCCTTGTGTTTGAACGAATGTTCGTCACTTTTGAGCTTCTTCACAAACGATGTGTTTTCCGCCGTCATCTCTCTTTTGAGATTGTCCATTTTTCTATCTAACAATTGTTCTAACTGTTGCATATCCATATTTGATAGTGAATATTGTTAAAAACGTGTAAAATTTAGGTGTTACTCGTGTAGGCAAAAAGCCGAGAATGACTACCTTAGTTTCATACTACCCTTTGTTCAAAATACTACTTTTCTATTGGCTACTCCTTTACACTCAGAATCAAACCTCGTTCTATTTCAGCAACTGCTAACAAAATCTCAATCTCATTCATACTTCAAAACGATAGAAAATATAAGAAAGTCTTTACAGGCGTGGCCAGGCATGAGTCAGTCGAGACAACCACCTTACAAAATCTTCCAAAACATAGTTCAGAATGATATCCCAATTATCAACAGTTGTTAAGGGGAGGGGGTAAATTAGCATAGTTTTGTTAAGGGGAGGGGGTAAATTGACATAGTTTTGTTAAGGGGAGAGGATAAATTAACATAGTTTTGTTAAGGGGAGGGGGTAAATTAACATAGTTTTGTTGAGGGGTGGGGGTAAATTAACATAGTTTTGTTAATGGGAGGGGGTAAATTAACATAGTTTTGTTAAGGGGAGGGGGTAAAGTAACATAGTTTTGTTTAGGGGAGGGGGTGAATTAACATAGTTTTGTTAAGGGGAGGGGGTAAATTAACTTAGTTTTGTTAAGTGGAGGGGGTAAATTAACATAGTTTTGTTGAGGGGAGGGGGTAAATTGGCATTGTTTTGATAAGGGGAGGGGGTAAATTAATATTGTTTTGTTAAGGGGAGCAGTAAATTAACATTGTTTTGTTAAGGGGAGGGGGTAAATGATTCTTTCATTAGAATATATAGTGTTGAATTTTTAATATTCAAGTGAAAGACTAATCAACATTTTCAAATTTCATTTGATGAGGGAAGGGAGTGTGAAACCATAACAAATCAACTTCGTTTTTCCGCAAATGTTGATAATTGAACACCATCCCTTATACAGACATTTTTCTCAACTAAAACTGTTCATGTAGTCCAAGTGTAGTAATTTACCTGATCGAGTTCTGAAGGAGATAGGAACGTGAAGCTGATTCCAGAAGTGATGACATATAGTTATAGCAAAATATTTTTGATTTGATAACCATCATTTCGGCAAATGTTATGGCAATAGCAAAATTTAGAAATCACATAATCATAAAGTATATTATCAATAAATATAGTCAAGACTTCACATAACATTATATAGAATTACATTATATAGAAAAAATAGCCAAATATAGTCAAGACTTCACATTACATTATATAGAAGAAATAGCCAAAATATACTCAAGACTTTACATTACATTATATATACTGTAGAAGAAATAGCCAAATATAGTCAAGACTTCATTATATAGAAGAAATAGTCAAATATAGTCAAGACTTCACATTACATCTTATAGAAATAGCCAAATATAGTCACTTACATTATATAGAAATAGCCAAATATAGTCAAGATATCACATTACATTATATAGAAATAGCCAAATATAGTCAAGATATCACATTACATTATATAGAAATAGCCAAATATAGTCAAGATATCACATTACATTATATAGAAATAGCCAAATATAATCATAACTTCACTTAACATGTATATAGAACATGTCACATTGCATGTATTTTTCTTTTCTTTTTTCAGACTATGACAGTATGTGACGACTTAGAAGCTCAATTTAGACAAACACACAAGAGTAGACCAAATATGCACTCCCTAGATTTTATAGGTATATAAATATGTATTTGTTTGTGTTTATACAGTAAAACCTGTTTAGTGGAATACCTTTGGAACCTCTAAAAGGTGTTCCACTTATAGAGGTTCATTTAACATTAAGTCAGTTGGTCAGTTGGGACTCTGAAAAATGGTGTTCCACTTCTTGAGGTGTTTCACTTTACAGGTTTCACTGTACTATACAAATTGACTGTCCAGCCAGTGACAATCCAATTGATTTTTTTTATTCCCATATTTTATCCTCTTTAATTTAGAGAATGAGTATTTTCACATGTAAAAAATGTCCAAAAATGTTAAAAATGCAATTTTCAGAAATTCTGTTTTTGCCATTATTATCCCAAAAGATGAATTAGATAGACATAATAAAAATTCCTTCAACATTTCTTGTTACTTGTTCATTTACTGTTCTTAAAATTGATCTCTTGTATTTGATATGTCAATAATTATATTTTTTTAGAAATTGCTGAAACAGATGACGAAAGTGATGTGAGTATTCTTTTGTTTACAACACTTGAAAAATGTGATGTGACTTGGATTATTATTTTTTTTAAAAGTAGAGTGAAATCAACAAGGATTGAAGTAAAGAATCATGTACATTTAGTTAACACTTCAAATTGTTATGTCACCACCAAAAGTGGTGACATATTGTTATGGTCTCCATTTTTTGTGACGTCTCCATTTGCTTCCGTGTTCTGTATGCCCCTCTGTATGCCCCTTTACCTGCTTAATAAAGCAATGTATCTTCAAATAAAACCTTAGCCAAGTAGATTAGAGTCTCTGGAACATTTTTGTAAATAGTTTTCACAAGCAATTTTGTTTGTGAATCTCAGATTTTGTCTTCCCGATTTCTGTTTTATATTAGACATTGTCATTCCGGGACGCTCAAACGTGTCAGGAACACATAGATACTTGAATGATCTTGATTGGACATCAGGTTGAAGAGAAATCGTAATTTTACTGAGTGGCTTCACGAAAAAATAAAAAGGCTATGCGCCTTGTTAACAAATATTTTTTTCAAAATCATCAACAAGTTTTCAGAAGTTGAAATCTGACTTTAGATTTAAAGATTGAGCTCATAATATTGTTAGTTTAAATTGATTCACTTAAACTGATAATAAAGACGTTTAAGGGAACTTTCTACTTAACTTTCTAATTAACCCGAATCAGCCACAATGGTAGCGAAACTGGTAGATCTGGGTAAATTATAGGAGCACAAACCAAAATTATTTTGTTATCTCCACTCCACGTGTCTGGACATATGTTTATTACTTATTAAGTATCCACGGGATAAATATCATAACATTAAATAACAACAATAGTCAGACAATACACACCCTATGCAGACAGAGCCTGTGGGAAATATTGGGTGCGGCGCAAATGAGCGGAGGGTGCGGAGCTAACGGTCACTTTTGAATTTAAAATTGGGATATTTCTGAAACTAAGCCGTTTTGGGACTTCAAATATACCAAGATATGTGTATTTGACACCAAATATCAATAAAATTGTGAAAATAGTAGTGTAATTCATTTTATAGCGACGCAGTATGCCTTAAACATTTCCCAGAGCTCATTTGCATAGGGTGATACATATACAATGTACATGAATAAATTAATACTACTTTGGTCAATCATGAACTACTGTAAACCTAGAAAACTATTGTAACCTATTGTACTTTCCTCATTTTGGAAATAGCACTACAATATAACATACCATATGATTTTTTATATAGCTACACATTTTCCAAATTTTTAGACAATTTTGAAGTAAGGCACAGTAATGCACATTACATGTAGATTGAATTATTAGAACTACATGTAAGCAGATATAAACCTTAATGCCTAACACATTATGTTAATAATCACAAATAATAAACAATAATAACAATGTTAATAAACAAAAATATTTTGATACTCCCTCCATAAGTGTGCAATAATTGTTAAATCGCAATTCTAGCAGTAAAGTTTGTTGAATTTTTAAAATTCCAAGCAAAAGGCAAATCAACATATTCAAATTTTGTTTTATGGGGGAGGGGTGAAACTATAATGAAATTAACTTCTTTTGCACAAAAACTATTGGATGATATCTCCAGCAAACCATTTTGCAATATTTTGGAAAGTCTTCTTCGAATCCTAGAATAGACACCAGAGCAGGTGTTATATCAACCAATTCATACTTAAGGGCTAGGCACAAAAGCCCTTACTCCATTCGGTCCTTTGGGGCTCAGATATTGTTTGTGCCTAGCCCAGGCATGTGGTATGTATTCGTTGATATAACACCTGCTCTATCTGTCTATACAGTATTTCTTAACTATAATTACAAACAATTCAACAGCAATACAGTACAATATAACATATTCTAGCTTCGTTTTTTACAATAGATTGCACAATTTCACTTAGTTGTGCAATACAAGTTTTATATATTGAGAGTGCACTAGTTTTAAACTGTCAGTATGGGCTATCATTTACTTGGTTTCTGAGACATCTCCTTTCAAAGGAACTAGATGGGAAAATGATGATTGAGAGTACATTGTTTGAGTTTAATTTTTTGTTGTCATCATTCCATGTTGTTTTGTTGTCTTGAAAGTCAAATATATGTTATGCAGTCTCAGTATATAATCCCAACAATTTCCCTAAACTTGCGGAAAAAATTGTTGTGCTCAGGCCCGTAGCCAGGTGGGGTTGGCAGAGTTCGGGTGAACCCCCCTGGCCAAAAATTCTTCCAAAATCATGCAGTTTTTCACAATTTTGAGCTCTTCTCAAGTGATTTTAGCCATATTTGAGCCAAAAATGTCAAATGTGAACCCCCCTGTGGAAACTTTTGAAAACTGAACCCCCCTTGGCAAATCCTTGCTACGGGCCTGCAGCTATACACAAATATTATAGCCAAACTTCAGCTATATTATCTCTCCATTAACTCCCATATAAATGCTTTGCTAGGTATGAAATAAATTCTTATATGGATGGGTATACATCTACCCCATTTCTAGTTACATCTACCTCATTTCTTGGCAAATTATACATATTTGTATCCGAGCAAAACAGAAAGTATGAGAAATAAAAATAAATCTCATCCACCTGATCCAGAATGCCAATTTCACCCAGCTGATGAAAAATGCCAATTGCACCCACCTAATCCAAAATGCCAGTTGCACCCACCTAATCCAAAATGTCAATTGCATCCACCTGATGAAAAATGCCAATTGCAACCACCTAATCCAAAATGTCAATTGCACCCATCTGATGAAAAGTGCCAATTGCACTGAACCCATCTGATGAAAAATGCCAATTGCACCAATCTGATAAGTAAATGTCAATTGTGTTTGAACCAGTTTCCATTACATACAAGGACTTTTAGTGAACTCTAAAAAGAGGTGCTTTTTCTTTGTATAAAGAAGTTTTGAGCAACTTTGCAGCCCTCTAATGTCATGTACAACACCAATTCTATGTGTTATAACTATATGTTATCTACCTTTGCCATTGTGTATATTTACTCACATACTATTCACATAGAAACAGGACCCCGCTTACATGTAAGTATGTGTTTGAAAGCTTTCCTGTAATCCTTGCTCCTAGTAAGATATACAATGACATTTGTAAGTGAATTACAAAAAACTACAATTGCTGTAAAGTATATGTAGTTTTCCTTTGCATGAATAAACTTCCCAGGGTGAATTGAATGTAGGAATAAGCAAACAAAGAAAGGAACATAGCAAATGACAAAAGATATTGATATGAAGCTTATAAGTTTAGCAACGCTTGACATGCGGCTTGACCATTGAGAATAAAGCCTGTTTGAACTTACATCATTATTTTGCAAATTGTGATTATTTTCTTTCTGGCCAATGAATCCAGTAGTTGAACTGGAACATCCTGGAATTGGATCGGGCAACTTAGAATTCTGACCATAGAATCCGGTAACTGAACTGGAACATCCTGGAATTGGATCGGGCAACTTAGAATTCTGACCATAGAATCCGGTAACTGAACTGGAACATCCAGGAGTTGAATTGGGCAACTTAAAATTCTGACCATAGAATCCAGTAGTTGAACTGGAACATCCTGGAGTTGAATCGGGCAACTTAGAATTCTGACCATAGAATCCAGTAGTTGAACTGGAACATCCTGGAATTGGATCAGCCAACTTAGAATTCTGACCATAGAATCCAGTAACTGAACTGGAACATCCTGGAATTGGATCAGCCAACTTAGAATTCTGACCATAGAATCCAGTAACTGAACTGGAACATCCAGGAGTTGAATTGGGCAACTTAGAATTCTGACCATAGAATCCAGTAGTTGAACTGGAACATCCTGGAGTTGAATCGGGCAATGTAGAATTCTGACCATAGAATCCAGTAGTTGAACTGGAACATCCTGGAGTTGAATCGGGCAGTGTAGAATTCTGACCATAGAATCCAGTAGTTGAACTGGAACATCCTGGAGTTGAATCGGGCAGTGTAGAATTCTGACCATAGAATCCAGAAGTTGAACTGGAACATCCAGGAATTGGATCTGGCAACTTAGAATTCTGACTATAGAATCCAGAAGTTGAACTGGAACATCCAGGAGTTAAATTAAGCAACTGAGAATTCTGGCCATAGAATCCAGTTGTGTTCATCTCTATGGTCGAAGGATCGTCAGACTTTGAATTTGGAGCATTGTTGAATGGTGCTACTTTGATATGTCTTTTGTTTGTTCTTAAGTTCCTTTTAAGATTTTGTGATATTATACCACGTTCTTTAAGATGTGCCACGTGTTTGTGAAGATTCCAGAATGTTAAACATTGTAGGACAAGGAGAACTATTATGTGCAGAAACATGATGATACACAACCCCATCAAATGATACTCATGGATAAGGCCATTGATCAAATGGCAACCTTTGTGTGTATGCTTGTTTCTATGAAACAAAGTAAAGGTACTGACATACACCATCCAGAAAGCTGCTGTCAGTAATATCAGAGCATAAGCAGTTTTTTTACTAAATGCCCCTTTTACACATTTTTGCCTTGTGGCTAGGAACATTTCAATCCAGAGCAGAAGAACACCCGTCATGGTTACTCCTGCTGATGTGAATGCCAAATAGAAGGTAATTAGACAGGGTATTGTCTTGCTCGATATTTCAGATAGTTCAAATGTTCCTCTTACAATTAATATTGCTCCCAATATAGTGTCATTCATAGCTAAGTATCCACGAATTATGTTTGAAACTGTTTGTAATTTTTTATAGCGCTTAATTGCCATAACAACCAAAAGATTCACTGTAAATATTATAACTGCTATTATGATTTGCAAAATTGGTGTGAGTAAGTTCTTGTCTTCTGTCATTCCTATTGAATTTTCCATTAAAGTGACATTTGTACATTTGTGATCACCACTGAGATTACCAAAAAGTGTACAGCTTACCATCATGACTGCATTATGACTGACCATTATTGATGTATTCCATTTTCTTTGATGCATAACTCCTACTGTTTTAAACCATGCCA